TGTGTGTGTGTGTCTGTTGATTAAGTGGTGTGTAGCTAAAAACATTCTCACACGACCTCTAGTAACATGTCGTGTCTTAAACATAAGAACATATTATGGCTAAGGCTACAGTTCTACACGTCATCATAATAATATTAAACACCCTGTCTGCTGACAGTCATCAACTCTTCTCTCTAGTTATCCTTGACCAGATGTACCCTGTAGAAACTCATAAGCATGACTAAGCATTTAACAGTCTAACTAGACATCCTATCTCCACTAAACATTTCTAATACATAAAGTATCTATCCAATTTCTATCTGACTAAAAATACCTAACAAGGTGAACTCAGCCTGAGCTGTGAGGGTGGAAACGACCGAAGCTGGTCGGTTAACGCAGTCCGGTTACACAACCTAATACGTATACAGTACATGCACACGGAACTTTACAGAAAACACCCTAATATGAGAAACCGCACATTTGACGGCGTTTACACTGTGTTTCTATTTGTAACGTTTAAATGTCGACTAATGTTCCGACGTGTAAACATGCATGTGAAAATAACGTGACCCGTGTGGAGCCGACTAGTTCTATTATTTCTTGTAGAAATTAACAATTCCACTGCATGGTCTCTGTCTCGGCACTTAACACCTCGCGGAGTAACGCCAACTTGACTAGTTACCACACTTTATCCTAAGCACCAACACTCCTCGGTACCCGATAATCGGAGACGAAAAACGCTGTAAAACAAACAAACAACAACAACAAAAAACTCTTACAGGTTGCTTAGCCATTTATTACAAATAACGTCATTAGTCGATATCTGCATAATCTGCCGTAGTCATGACAGCTAACCCGCTTTCTGTCACGGTAAGTGGGTAACGCGTTACACCGAGCACCACCTCAAAATGTCTGTGGCCGCCCTCAGTGCGCCCCGCGTCCGCCACCGCGCAGGGTCGCACCAAAACATCCACTAAAGCCTCGAAACGGTCGATTATTTTACACCTAAACGCAATTTATCTTCTGGGAATCTTGCAAAATTACGGGTTACGTGATATTTCTGTCGAGGTTTAAGCGACTAATATGTCCGCTCACGGAGAACGACGAAGCGCCATCGACGACGTCGTCGTAGCTGAGGTTGACACGCAGTTTTTCCGGGACGAAATCCTGCTGTCAGCTCCGAAACAACCTGGTATATACCGACAAACGACCGCTCCGTCTACAACCGAAATACCCACAGGTTTAGTTTGGTGTGTTCGTTAACATAATGTCGTGTCCTCCATTAAACCTGAGTTGCTCCAAACAGCCGACGACTGATTTAAAGTTAAACTTGCATGTCGTTATCCGTGATGGTGCTTTTATATAACGGGAAACAGTTCAGGCGCGTCAAACGATAAGAACCGTAAGCTAAGTGCTAGCGTTAGTCTCATTTTGCTGGTATAAGTTGACTCTCCCAGAGACAAGGATTTCTCCGGAGCGGAGAAGAGGGCGGACGGACCGAGCCGTGAGATGCCCCCAGATCCAGCTGGGATCTCTGCTCTCTGTCGAGGTGCTTGTACGGTGGCATTTCGGTGTATAACTCGACCGATTAAGGGCTTAAAAGACCGAAAGCAAACTAGCCGTCCAGAGAGTTATCAGTAGCGCACTCCATGTGATGAGCGAGGCGGCGCAGCCTGCCGGGCTCCAGCCGCACTTCACCTCTCGGGTGATTTCAGGAAGCTATTACAATGTTATTAAAAATCAAATACTTACCTCCTCCGGATTCCTGTTCCGCAGCTCTAGAGTAATCCTCTTCTTCATGTCCATGTTGAAATGTGTTGTGCGTGGCGGTAAACAGTTGAGAAACTCCCAGGGATCAGAGCGATAGCTGTTTTCCTCTGATGGCCAGTTTGCCTACAGATCCTCCATGTTACCTCCCGCCCTGCCCCCTCCGCTGCGGTCCCGCCCTCCACCGCAGTGTCAGCCGCGTCTCGCCGCAATCTCTGATTGGACAATGTGGAAGTCAATCAGTGCCGACCGGCCATCATCTTTACAAACTGGGCGGGAAAAGGCTAAAAGCTAGGCTGACGAAGCCTCATGGGAGATGTAATTGTTTAATACCAACAAACTAATCCTTATATCTTTTTCAAAATTCCCACTGGTGGAAACATTAAAGGTATTGCAATAAAAGCAATATACACTGTAATAACAAAACCTGAAAATGTAAAATACATGTAAAAATACAGTACATTATAAATACTTTGCATTATACAGAGACGTGTTTAGCCTCATTTATAATCAATGGGACTAGGAATACCAGAAACCCATCCATGTATAAAGCAGTACAGGTGAACAGCAACAGGAACTCCTGCCTCCAAAATTACACATGGGTGAATCAACACTCTCTGAACACCTTCATGAAGGATTTACTGCAGGAGTATTGGACTAGACTGACTTAGTTGTACCTAATAAACTGACCAAGTGATCTTGTGCTAGAGCTGCTCTGTTTATGAAAAATAATGTCTGCTTCAGCACATCAATTGTTGACTTTACACTCAATGATTTTAGGTGTAGTCAGTTTGACACCCAAAGGTCTGGTACTGCGTTCACTATGAAAGCATCCAAACACGAGAGAGAAGTTCTTATTCAAAAAACAAGTGTTTATATTTCAGATTACCAATGCAGACAGCCATCACCATCATCATCATGTAGAAGCGTTCAGGTACAGTTAAAAAAATACAACTTTATATGTACATAGAAAAAGGTTGGCTTCAGTGAGCTTATAAAAATAACTATCGCACTCAACTCAAATGATGCAGAATCACTGATCAGAGGAAGAAAAGAAGAGCGCGATAAGCTGTGACAGGACGTTAAGTGGGACAAAAAACCTGCAATAAATGAGAATCGGCTGACTGGTAGCAACACCAACTGATTTTACTCTGTGGGGCAAACAGGGTTGGACCAGAACACAACAGCAGTTAAAAGGACCATTGTGCTGGTGTTAGAGGTTTCACTCCAACTACCCATAGTCAGCTTTTACCCATTTCTGAGCCTTCACTGCACATTTTAAACTGATTTCCTTTCCTCCAAGCAGCCACGGGTTTCACATCTAGAAACAGTTCATCACAGCCAGGATTTAGTCAATGTTAGTTTATAAAGTAAAAGAAAACATAAAGAGCAACATTTTGTTCACAAAGGTATGGTTATAATCCTCTCTCCTGTTCACTTAAATATTTATCAGACAAATTCAATTAGCTAATGAAAGTTAACTAAAAAGTAAATTGGTAAAGTAGAAATGGAATAATTAACCAACTCATCAGTCTGTCAACAGAACATTCATTGGAAGCTAATCATATTTTCATGATAATTTCAGGCTTTTTTTGTTTTTTTTTTTAACAAGTGTCACAGATTCACTTTCCATCTTCTCAAATGTGAATGTTTGCAGATTTTGTTTGTTTTCTATGAGAAGCTGAGTCTCTGCAGTTTGAACTGATGATGAGACAAAACCAGACATTTGAAGACGTCACTTTGGACTTCATAGTGTGAACAGTTAATAAAATAGCCAGAATACTAATCAATAATAAAAACGATTGGCAGTCTTAGATCGCGGTTTGCCCGGGTCGGCCCTGATCAACACAGCAGGTTTATGACCAGCTGATGATGAAAAACAAAACTGGCTTTGTAGAATAACCCCAGTCAATGAATGAACTCAAGGTTCCCATGATGGATCTGATTCAGTTCAGGTCAGGATGCAGTGTCTATGAGACTTGATGCTAGTAGGTAAGATTTAAAGAAACAAAAGGTTTATCTATATTCTGACATGAGTTGTCCGGATGAGCTGTGTGTGAAAAAACACAGGAAGCCGAGTCCTGCATCTCCAAAATAAATGTCTTATCACAGCACCACTGCAACCATTTGGTTTCCTCACTTTGTTGTGGAATAAATTCTGGGAAACAACCTTGTTTTGCGCTCCAAATGGTCTTTATAGAGCTCATATGAAATTGTTCTGATCTTTGACATGATGTTGCCTCTGAAAGGTTACGTCCAGAAACAAGAAACGTATAAATCAAAAAGCAACAACAAAAAACAAAACAAAACAGAAAAACAGTTCAGAGTTACTGTAGTGTCCCAAAAGAAAAAATGATATTTTTTTTGTTTTCAGTTCTCAGTTGGGCCTTATTGTATGTCCTCTTTTGGGGAAGCAAAATGGTGCAAGGCAGAGCAAGAACTCTTCTAGTGGGTTTTCTGAAAGGGCAAAGTGATCCCAATTTAGACAACAGGTAAACAACAATTTACACTGTGAAACTGAACACAACAAAAATAAAAACATTAATGGCTATAGTGGGGATAACAATCTGTGTCCAAGCGTCAAGGGGTAAAAACTAAAATTCCTCTGCTGTACGAATACTCCTTAGTTTACACAAACCAGCTGCTCTTTGTTTTGGGGATCCTATAACTGTTCCAATACAGAAGCAAAATGATGCTTTAAAGTGATGTTAAGGAAACAGACAGGGCTGTATACTGGGAGAACTAACATCCCAAGCCTCATGTCTTTGTTTGCTTTGGTTTGGGATCACTGATTGAGGTTCAAACAAAATCCAAAAAAGTTAATGTGCCTTTGAGCAAAGGATCCACCTCCCTCCTGAGTTCATTTATCTTTTTCCTTCCTTTCATCCAGTGTCTATTCTGTCTGTGGCAGCCATTTTGCATCCCACTTATATAGGTTATTCAGTTAAAGAACTGAGAACTCAAAATGGTACAAAACTAATATGCACTGCCATTGCTGTTTAGTTGTTTTTCAGCCCATTTTGGGGCACAACATTTTACTTCTTCTCTCCCAAAATATTGCATCTTTCAAGGATTCAAAATGGTGCAGAATTAAATGCATATGTTAATTCTATTTTCAGTCTATTATCTTCCAACTATTTGCCTTTTTGGAAAAGCCACTTTGTGTCCCTCTTTGAAGTGTTGTTATTGACTCATCAAAATGGCGCCCAACTAAGGTCCACTACAACATCTTTTAAGTCCTGTCTTTCTCTTCCATACCATTTTTTTTCTTGAGGAAGCCATTTTGCTTCTCCTTTGAGATGTTGATATTAAATCATTCAGGGATTCCAAATGGTGCACACTTAAATGCTATCATTTTTGTTAAGGCTTCCATTAATCTGTCTCTCTCTTCGTACTCTTTTTACTTTTTGGGGAAATTCTTTTGCTTTTCTACTGTCATGTACTGTCAAAGTGGGATTCAAAATGGTGCATGAGTATACTCCATTATGTTTGTTTAGGCCTCCACTAGTCATCTTTCAGGGATTAAAAATCTGCACAACTGAAACCCACAGTCATATTTCTTCCCATGGTAGGGGAAGCCATTTTGTGTCTTTTCAACTGCATTAAATTTTTTTTTGGGGGGGGGGGGTTCAAAACGGTACACACTTGAAATGGTCCTGTTTCTTCTCCTCCTTCACACTCTGTTAAATGGGATGCAAACTTGTGAGTCAAACCAACACTCTCCTGTTATGTCTTTTTGTCAGTGCGTCACCCTGTTCCCCCTCCCTCTCTGTTAGGAGCTGACCTCCGCCGTCTCTCCCCCTGTCTCCACCAGCGTCACCTGGCCCTCCTCCCCCTCCATGATAATGCCTCCCTCCTGCAGCACAACCATCTCTCCCTCCTCCTCCACCATGCTGCCGGCCCCCTCCTCCTCGTCCTCCCCTCCTACCACCTCCTCAGGGCTGGCTGCAGTGTTGGCGGCGGTGCTGACGGTGGTGGTGTTGGTGCTGTTGGCCTGACTCTGGGCCATGGCCTCCAACTTGATGCGATACTCCTCTGCCTCCTGCTCCTTACGCAGCAGCTGCTGCCGGTACTCCTGCGCCTTCCTGTTGGCCTCCTGCAGCTGCCTCTGCAACAGCTCCTGCAGGAGGAGGTCACACACAGTCAGGTCAGCTGACAAGTGCAATAGGTCTTACAACAAATAATCAGTCGATTGACTGACAAAAACTATTTTTGCAACAATAATGTAGTGGGTGTAGTTTAATCTTTTAGCCAACAGAAAATTAACAAAGTGACTGTTACTACGTTGAACTATTAAAAGAGAAAAAGCCGAAACCTGCTGGTTCCAGACTCTGATTTCTGCTTTTGCTTCTTTTCTCCCATTGAAACTTAGATCTGACCAACTACAGCACTTTTCAACTGCTCTTTTTTACCGCAGCTTTTAATTAATGAATCCTAATTCAACCCAATTTTTTCACTTTATCTGCTTTCATCTTTCCTCCATTAGATGATGACTTTACTTTGTGGTGCTGTTTAGATGACTACCGACACTGGTGTTTCATATTTTCCAGAAGAAAGTAAATCTGCCTCTGGTGTAAAGTACTCAGAGGTTAGTCCTGGTAAGACTGAAGTACAGGGGTACACAGTGTACTGAGGACAGTGAGAATTCACAGCTGTACTAAAGTACTGGGTATCTACACCTGCATGTCGTGATCTGTGCTATCATAACTGTTGCTTTTAATGATTTAATCTAATTTACCTTCTAATGTTTTATCTGTAGATGCATTTTAAAGTTTTAACTATCTGTGCATTTTAATGTTTTATCTGCGGGCAATGTGTTAAGCACTTTGAACGGCCTTTGTGTATGAAGATGTGCTGTATCAATAAACTCGTCTTTTCTAGCTCGGCACAGACTGTGTGAGATTTATTCATCCTGTATGTATTCACTCATCTTCCTGCACAAAACAACCTGCCATTCCTCTGCTCACACTGACAAGATGTTTGCATCCTCAGTCATGACTAAACGCAGAACTGTGACTTAACTGTCGTGACTCTACAGCAAACAGAGGAGGAAGAAGGATGTGGAGCAGCAGCAGAAGTCTGGGGCATGCAGGTAACATTGCCCTTCAGTGTCTGTGCCACAGCTGAGTGTAAAATACTACTGCAGTAACATTAAGAAGGTGTAGCAGTTTACACTAGATGTCCAGACAGCAGCTGTTTGGGAAATCTGACCGACCAACATTCCTGACTTGTCAAAAATCTAATCGATCGTTTGAGAACCAGATCACTGATCGATCAGGAGATCAATCAGGCGCTGGGCCCTGCTCAGCCAGCATGTCAGACCACTGTTGAGCTGACCGAGCCTCAGCCTTCAGTTTAGTCTGGGCGACTGATTCAGGGCTAAAGCAGATGTAAACAACAGCTGGGTCAGCGCTGCTGTCCCGTGTCTGCTTACTGCTGCTAACCTTTGCTGTAAACTCGCCACCACTCACCGTCTCTCCTGTGTCGTTGTGGTTGTTGGTCACTTCCAGCTTCCTCTTCCTGGAGGGCGGAGGCTGAGGCTCCTCTGTCACCACCTCCTCCGTCACTGTGTTGGCCGGCACCGCCAGCACTGAAAACACACACACACACAGAGTCAGTGTCAGCACCGACACAACCACAGGACTAAGAAAACAGCACTGTCAGTTGTACTCTGCTGTCCGTGCTGCATGGTCACAAAGAACGGCTGTGACATCGCTCCCGTGGTCTGCAGGTTGCCGTGCTGGTCCGTTACTATGGTGATGACTCGCTGACCCCCCTCGTTGACCACAGCAGCGTGCTGGATATTGGAGTCCAGAGCACTGGCTGCCATCGCCTCCTCTGAATCTCCTGAAACATTAACAAAATTGCCTCTCAGTCATTTAAGAACTGGTAGAAGTTGTGTGTGTGCACGCATGTGTATGTTCGTACCCGCGTTGGCCTTGTTGAGCAGCTCGGCCAGGTTGACCACGCCCCCCTGTATGGCGGGTATTCCCTGGATGATGAACTGCGGCTGGTTGGTGGTGGCACTGGTCTCCACATTCATGCTCACCTGGTTCATGTTCACCTGGTTCTGCATGCCCTCCTACACACACACACACACACACACACACACACACACACACACACACACACACACACACAAACACACACACACACACACACACACAGCTAAAGTAAAGGCAAGCTTCAGGACAACAGCACATTAATCATTTATTCAAATGCTTCTCTCAGTCATCTACGTCCTTTAAATCATCTATATTAACCACCAAAGTCTCCTAAATGGCCCGTAAAGGTTTAAATGTCAGGAGAAGCCTCCTCTGAATGACTTTAACAACAGATACATTTTCCTGATATATTCAGGGGATTAAAACATTTACAGCTTTTTCAAAAGGTTTATTAAGTAGAGCAGGAAATTCTAAAGTTTATTACTCAGGTTGTCTCTGAAATCAGATGAATGACAGGATGTCAACACAATATCTGAAGAATCATTTTGTCCCAATTTAAATCTCACAGTCCAGGCTGTTTATTTCTAGACATTAGTTAAGACATTTTTACAGCAGCTGTAGTAAAAGACAAACATTAAAAGCACCATTTTGAAAACAACAGTAGACCTGTTTGAATTCAGTGTGTGGGGCTCACTCCTGCTTTAAAGCCAAACTAAACAACAGCAGCACACGTCAAACTGAATTAAAAACTTCCACTAGATTAGGTTTAGTGACACACCACTTAGTGCACCGGCTTTTGATTCAGAAATCTGAACACAGCCGTCTGGACATTTTGCCAGAAATTACATCTCACCTGCAGAAGCAGCATCAGCTCGGTGTTCTGGATGTCGACAGCGATGTCGAACGGCGTCTTGTCGAACTTACTGAGCGCATGCACGTCGGCGCCGTGTTTGATGAGGGTCTCGGCCACGCCGTGGTGTCCGTGCTGTGCTGCCCAGTGCAGAGCTGTCATCTTCAGCATGTCTTTGGCATTGATGTCAGCACCGCTCTGAAAATACACACAGCTGTGTCAGTCACATGAAGCGCAGGCAGTGTAGCTCAGTACGTCACCAACTGTTAACAGTTTGTGAATAAATTTGGTGGGGGGGGTTTGGGGAGGCGACAGTGATGCGGTGGGTAGAGCAGTCGTCTCCCAACCAGAAGGTTGAAGATTCGAATCTTGGTGCCTCTAGGTCCACGTGTCAAAGTGTCCTTGGGCAAGACACGGAACTCTCAAGTTGCCCCTGATGGTTAGAGCCATCGGTTGAGTTGGCGCCGCAGATGGCTGCCATCGGTTCTGTACCAGAAACAAATTCCTTGTGTGTAACATACTTGGCCAATAAAGGTGATTATCCTTATCCTAATGGGAAAAATCTGCAGATTAATCGAATGAATAAAAACTATCAGTTTGCTTCAATCACATCGATTTAATGGCCATGAGGCTCCTTGTGTCTCTGCTGCAGGACAAACAGCACTAACCCACAGACTCTTAAGGTGATTTATAAATGCAGCAGTGAAATTAGCTGCAGATTGTTTTGTCAGCATTAAAGCAACTGGGAAGACAAAGGTCACCGCACACTGACTGCTGCTACAAGGTTTTGTCTTAATGTTACGTTTGAGACCCACAGTCCTGAATCACCATAAATATTAAATCCAGCCTGAAGTCAGTGTAAACCCAGACCAGTTCTCACCCGGACCAGCAGCTCGACAATCACGGTGTGCCCCTCAGCAGCGGCCATATGCAGCGGGGTCCTGTCCACTTTGGTGCGGGCATCTCTGCTGACGCCAGCCCTCAGCAGAACGTCAGCGGTGGAATAATGACCGTGCTGAGCAGCCAGGTGGAGGGGGGATGTCCCCAGCTACAGCACACACAGACACACATCACCTTTATCACGGCACACAGACAGCAATGATACCCCCGACCCCCCAAGGTAGCTTCACATGCAGTACAAAAGAACAGCGAAGGGGGCTGAAGCTGGCGGCTCACCCAGTCGGTGGTGAACGGAGCTCCGTTGGCCATCAAGTTTCTGACCTCATCGTCCTGGCCTTTCCGCGCCGCCTCCAGCAGCCGTTTGCCCAGGTCCACCAACGACATCTGACACAGAAACATTCGTCCTTAGTTAACTAACATCTCTGCACTTTAACACATGACTCAGCCTGAATGTGTAAGCAACATACTTTGTTCCCACTCAACATATTTAGTTTTCTGGGAAATTTTACATCCTCCAAAAAAGAAGATTTTATTACACTTTACCAGGCTTAAATCCATCTGTCTGTTGACGGTTAAGGTTTGACATGTGCAAAACTACAAACCTATCAACGTGCACACACTTCGGCCAGTGGCCTAAGTCTTTATTCTGTGAGGAAGGGAAAACATTTTGCCAAACAAAAACAGAAGCTCTAGAAACAAAAGTTAAAAATAAAACTCTGTTCATATTAAAGAGGACTTTGCGCCCCCACCCACACACTTCACTGTAAATGTGGGTATTTCAGCAGCTTGGCCTCCCCACATACAGTATCTGTAATGATTAATCAAATGGACAGATATTTTTTTAACTCTGAAGATCAAATCAAATTTGTCATTTTAAAAACACAATGTGAAGAATGTGCCATTTCTAGCACCTGTAAGAAGATGACTGTTTTCTTTGTTGCACAATAAACTGATTACCTTGAACAAAGATGTCAACTTGGACCATGAGAAGTTATGAAGGACATTTTTTTCTGTTTTCTGGCAATTTGTAGACAAAACTATTAATTGAAAATATGACGGGCAGATGTTGGTTCTCTTTTTAGCTTACGTTTGTACATGTTTTACTGATAAAAGGCGTGTACGCTTGAAGAACACGACTCTTCAAAGTGTCAAACCAACTAAACCTTTGTGCACAAGCATGGAGTCAAACTTTCTGATCGGCGCCAAGTGTGTCACGATAACTTCCAAAAAATGGCACTACACAAAACATAACCCCATAAACAAACACATGCCAACTGGATTTTAACATTTAGCACTGGTTTGAACGAGCTGTTGGTGTTTGTACCGGGAAAGACTTTTATCGGGAAGTCGCCAAAGCTAATCGGGTTAGCCTGACACACTGTCCGATATTGGAAGCCGTACTGTCATGCGACACTTGCGTTTGCGAGACACGGAGACGGACGAGGATTTTCTCTCCGCGGCCGAGGAGCCATTTTACGCGCCTCCATGCCCAGAAAAGAGTCCGCCATGTGCCACGTACCCCTCATCTCCCCTCTCGGTGCGGTCATTTACCACCACCACCACCGCCGTTAAAAACAATCACCTCCTGCACCAAAACATTTACAGTAGCAGCGACAGGAAACCGTTTGATATTAAGTTGTGGGTTTTCCGGGGGAAGTCACACAGAAATTTCCTATTTTACACACAGAGAAAAAAACTACTTCCACATCCGGTTAAGTAGCTTTTACAAGCGCGCACCGTCAAACCGCATAGTGGAGATTTGTCTGGTGCCAATCTGCAGTTACCTCATGGTATTCTGGCGGCGTTTAACATATTAAGATGAAGAGAAACGGCGTTTTGTTCTCTCGGAGGACCGCGGAGCGTTTACTTACCGTGTCCGGGTTTGTTAGGAGCCAGCAGGAGAGCTCCTCGCAGCTAGTGTTAGCACGCCAGCCGGCTAAACACAACGGACCGCTCACTATGTGAACGGTTTGTGCGCTAATTTCACTCTGCGGTGAGTAACACCAACTCAGTAATGTGCAAACCTAAATTCACAAACAAAAAGAACATGAGCATTAAGCACCAACGCAGCTTGTCGAGTTCCTCCGGCCTTGTTTACCGCGACAAGCTAATAATAGGCGGCCCGTTCACGCCCGGATGTTAGTGGTGTGACTTTCAAAATAAAAGCTAAAACTTGTTCCGGTCCATAACATTTGAGAGATGTCTGTGCAGATTCTCAGTCATCGTAAGCTGAAAAAACTTCCAAAAGGTCAGAACTGATGAAGCGTCTTGGTTGAGAGGTGAAATGTCTTCGACCTAGAAATCTAGTCCAGTTGATTTTAAAAAAAAAGTTTTTTAAGCTTTTTTCAGCAGAACATTTGAGAGGTTTATCAGTCTGCTTAACGGAAACGTCACAGTAATTTAATTATACTAGAGGTGAAATGACCAGTCACTTAAATGAGAAGATGATCAAGAGATGAATAATTTGCAGCTGTCTTTATAATAAGTTAATCGAGTTAGTTATTGTTTAAGCAAAGAGGAGAGAATTTCCTACTGTTTGTAATCATTTTTTACAACACAAGACATTTGAAGGTGTCACGGTCATCTATGTGAAATTGTGATTTTATTTTATTTTTTTATGCTTTGTGGACTATGATTAGTATGGAAAAATAATTGGCAGATTAATCAATTATGCAAATAATTTGCAGTTCTACATTTCATACATTCAAACTGATGTTACGACAGTGCACATATGCTTAAATACACACTGCTTAGCTTCTATATACTTGCAGATCAAATAAATAACTCAGTTAGTTAACCGGTCATTACAGCTCCTGTAATTTCCCATAGCACCAGGTCACATTTAAATGTCCTTTTTGGTGCAGCTAAATGTTCAAAAACCGGAGTTCTTTGGTTTAATATCATAGATGACAAAGAAAAATGACTAAAGTTTTAGCTGCATTAGCTGACATCACTGTGAAAAAAGCCCACTGACTTTTCAGTTAATTACTAGTAACCACAGCTGTAAAAAATATTTATAGCAAATTTGTATTACTTTACATAAATTACTACATAATCTATTTCCTTTATTTATAGAATAACGTGAGTTCATGCCACCATAAGCTTCCTTAAAGATGTATTTGTTTTACTGTTTGTTTGCCTGATAAATTATTAATTATAAGAAAAAAATTTTGTGTTACCTCAGATGAAGTAGTTAAAAATATGAAGTTGCTGCTTATTCAGCAGTCTGTATTTTATGTTGAAAGTCCTGACGGGAAGTGTGGTCTCCTTCGTGTCTACCTTGACATTAACAGCTCTGGTGTTTACCGTTAACCTGTGTGCATGCACAGCATTAGCATGTTAAATTATTGCCAGTTTTACCTTCTTTTCACGTAGAATCTCGCAACTTTACGTCTCCTGAATTAAATCAGACTCTGATGGGCGTTCACCTGCCGGGAACGGGTTTAAAAACTGTTCTTTTTATGTTAAATCTGGTACAAATATGGCGGCTCAGCGACCCCGGAGGAGAAAGCCAGAGTGAGTGTGCGGGCTTTCTGACGCACTGGGGAGCAGATCTGAGGTCGGTTCGAAGCGCAGACTCACAGCCTGACAGGATTTATATGGGACACATACCTGACCTCAGATCGGTGCAGGCCGCAGAGCCCGGAGATCAGGCCATGTTTAGTAAAACAGCGGAATTATCTGATAATAAGAACTCGATGTAAGTGATCATAAATGATTAATAAAATGCCTTTAACTCTGTTTCCACCATCATCAGCAGATAAAGAGTTAAGCGAGTCACAAGGTGTGAGGACCGTGTCCCTGTGCGCACACACTGCAACATCCACATTATCAGGGGAATAAATGAGGTTTGTCAGTAACGAAGAGAAGCAGACAGACAGCCGACCTGAGCGTCTGTCTGGTCTCAGAGTGTGGTTCAGTCTGCCAGGTCATCACGCACGGATATCGATACTTCTCATTGGTCAAAGCTGAACACGAAACGGCGTCACAAAACGGCTATCATGTGTTAGACTGAGGTGCATCTGATGGGGCAGATTGACAGATTTGAAAAACGTTTAGAATCATGAGGTCTCTACAGACTGGGCTGAAGTTTTGGAAAGAGCGGTGGCACTCGTGATGTTTTTGGCTGAACATGGACTGGCTTTCTGAGGCACAAGTGAAATTTTTGGTAGACTTGACAATGGTAACTACATTGGAATATCAGAACAGATCAGCAAGTTTGAAAATGTGCTTCATCCTTTCTTTCTAAAAATTCATGTTATGTTGACTGGTATTTATAGTTTAATGTGGAAAAGTCCATCCTCATCATTTCTGGTTGTGGCCTTTCACGTACCTGAAACATGTCCAGGAATGTTTAATTAAGTACTATTTACTAGGAAAATAAAGATACTGGTGAACTGGTTATTTCCCTTAAAATAATTATAGGAACGTAATTTTCCCAATGTGTTTAATTGCCTGTAACATCCCTGTGAATCACCTCTGTTTTAGGAAACTGTAGGACCTGTAAAATAAACCTTGAGCTTTCTCCACCTGTAAAAATCTGTCTCGTTTTTAATGTGCAACACATTCGTTGAGTTTCTGCATGTGAGTCACTGGTGATGGAAAACACTAGTAATTCAGCTGAGAATGACCTTTGCTTTTATTCTCATTGGCAAGTGACAGTACATCCCGACAGGCCAGGTGTTTTCTTCCTGTGGCTCAGTAAAATAAATAAATCCCCAAATGAACAACAAACAGCTCAGGATCAAAAACAAAAGGCACAGATGGAAAAAGAATCATAATTTAAACATCACTTCCTTGACTGTCTCTAACTCAGGACCATTAATCTAACACACAGACATTTCTGAAATACACTGATCAATTGAAGAAGGATCAATACTGCTGTGTAGTGTTTCTAAAGTTTTGTCCACATCATTTACACACAGGACGGGGTTCAAACCTGAGTCTGATCAGGATTTGGTTTTTGGTCCAGTGTGAACACAGGCTGAGCTGGGCCTGGACCACGATGTCGCTGTGCTATTGGCTCTTTTTAGGGTTAAAGCTAGACCACTTTTAACCAGGTCACCATGGCAACGGCTGCTGCAGAACTAACCCTCAGGTAAACTGTTGGACGTCATTTGAACTTTATTTGCATCAAATATTCAGGATAATGTTTAATTATTAGACAAAGAAAAAAAATCACTCTACCTTATTTAAATATGTGTACACGATTTCCAGTGCTTCTGCTGCTTCTTGTTCTGCTCTCATTCTGTGATTGTTTCAACTCTAAACCTGTTGAATAAAATGTTCTGCTGATAAATCACAGCTGTATCTTGTTCATTATGAGTCTAGCTCTCTCACCCTCTCACTCTGTATTGGTAGCTAGACCCAGCTGCCTTCCTGGTCCAGGTCCCTGGCGACGTCTTCTTACCAGACTAAAACTAAAAGTAGGTTCAGACACATGATTCAGTGTTTGTGTTTCAACAGAAACCAGTTCAGGATCAGAAGTGATGGCCGAGCAGCTGAAGCTGAAGCCGGAGCTGAACCAGGATCAGTTCCTGCACACCTCACCTGTCTCTGGGGTGGTACCGTGAAAACCAGACTCATTTTGGTGACAGAAACCTGTTGGGACAGAGCAGGTGAGGCCTGCAGAGACTGATCCAGGGTCAGGTTGGGGGGCCGATGCGGGCTCAGAGCAGCAGGTGGAGGTCGGCCAGCAGAGCGTCAACGTTAGCAATGGGAGCTCTCCAGTAATTGAAGGAGGAAAACTGGGTGAGCTGGGCCTGCAGGGAAGCAGAGACAGAGAGTCCATGAGGAACCGGTCCTGGAACAGAGGTTACAAACACCCTGCAGGACGCAGGTCTTTGTGTCCCTGGTTCACATAGGGTCCATCTCCATAAACTCATCTCCTTCCTGTTCTTCACTGACACAAAGATCAGTGTGCCACTGAGGAAAAGTCCAAGACCTGGACTGTCTGGAGGACAAAGGATGAGGCTCATGAATCTGTCTGCCTGTGTTGTTTCCCACAAATCAGATGTTTCCCCTGTGTTTTTGTCCCTGATGTCTTGTGTTTTTATTTTAGCAGGATGTTCGTGAGCTTCAGTTTTAAATGTGCTCTTTATCAAACAAATAGGAGGAAATGATGCATCTGTTGGGGACTTTTCTCTGTGGTGGATTAATCCACACTTGGTCTCTAAAGCCCCCTTTCCACTGCCTGGTACCAGCTCAACTTGACTCGCCTTTGGTACCAGGTGCTTGGTTTTCCACTGTAGATGTCCCCTCTCAGTGTAGCTGGTTGTCATAGCGACACCGCATTACACTGCTGTGATGTCATCAGCAACCAACACAGTAACAACTGAGGACATCGAAGGTACACTGTTCTTAATCCTCTGCATGTGGCACACAGTGAAACACAAGTAAGGCGAGTCGAGTCGGAAGAGGAAAGGGGGCTTATAAGACTTGGTGGGACTGAGTCTGAATAAACTTGTCCTTTAACACCAGGTGGATGCGATATCATCTCTCACCTGGAGGCTCAGATGTTCTCAGACTTGATCTAAACATGTGTGAGCAGCTTCTAGAGCCGAGCTGACGTCTTCACATCTTTAGTCTGATGAACTGTGGCAT